CCCCAAAACCCCAAAACCCCAAAACCCCTAATATAGATATTGAGTTTAAATGTTAATCACTCTTGAATATATAGTTATGAAATTAAGTTTATTACTTTCCTTTAGTAATCATATATTCTAAGTCTGTTTAGTATTAATTCATGATCTTAGTCCATTAATCATTTCAAATTAAACTTGAAGAGCTTTTTATCTTTCTCTCACTTTTTGAGATGTATCTTTATTTCTCTTTACATTTACACCGTTGTTAAATATCAAGGCATCTGGTGAAACCTGTTATGTCCTCGCAACTTTAGGCAATGATATATGACTCTATGTATCTCTACGTCTATGAACAAAATTTTTAGCAGTATTACTGAAGTTTTTTATGATTGTTTCTTCAATCCTTTGCTATTTAATAGCCATTTATTTAAGAGCATCCATAGAGTTAATAATCATTGAGGAGTTCAAATTTTTTCGTTTTGCTAGATTTTCTTCAGTCACTAATCTGCTAATGTCGTGCTGCTATCTGTTTCTAATTGTGTTCTCCTTTATCCTATCAGATAATTCCTAGGTAGCCCTAATACCATGTCCAACTTTTTCAGCTAGATTCTGGGTTTCAAGTCTTGAAGAATCATTATTTACTCTTGAAGTAGAGGAAGCTTTCTTTTCCTATCCTACCTCTTCAACAGCACCCATTCTAAGCAAGTCATAATAGCCAATATTTTACTCTGAGATTTTATCAACTTAATTAAATCCTTGTGATGAAGTTAGAGCTGATAGTTTGTTATTAACTTAATGTCTACTGTTATTAACTGATGAACCATGATTTAGCTAAATATTTTATGCTATAAATTCAAGTTTTTAATCTAGATTCTCTGAATTATACTCTTATAAAGGATCACTGGCTTTGAAGAATTTAGACATTATTGGGTTAGGACTAGTGATTGGACTTATTTTTAAGTTGTTATTGCTTTTATACTTAGAGGGAGTTTTTCTTTATTTTTCTCTTTTCTATTATTCTAACGAAGCACTGCTATACATATTTTCTACCTTTTATTCTTCATTTTCATTCTCTTCCCTCACTGTCATAATGGCCAGTTCATCATTGTCAAAATCATTAGTAGTTTTTACGAAATGTGAGCCTAACTTTGTGAGGATCATTTTTCTTTCTTTTCTCTGAGTAGTCGGAGTATCTGCGAAATTTCCATCGAGTTTTGATTCAAATTCGTAGGAGTGATTTTTATCTATTAATCTTTAATCTCTATCCTTCTTTTCATGACTATGACTTCTATGATATAAATATTCATCCATTCTTGAGTGATTTGGCTATGAAACACTAACTTGATGAGTCATTTAACTTGATGATATTTATTAGTTATCTTAGATTTGCTTTTGTATAGCACTAGATGTTGTATGCTAAATACCTGTGAACTCCAAATCCTCATTAAAGTTGAAATCCTTAGAAGGTATTTTTCTGATAGTTAACGGATTGGTTGAGTCACGCTTCTATCTCTACTTGAGAAAAGTAGACTCATTTTTGCTCTGCTTAAGCTGAATTACTTTTTACATTCTAACAATTGATGTTGCATGCTATTTCAGCAAATTTTCTAAGTTTACAATTTTTTCCTCTAACTTTTCATAGCCTGAGCTATTGTTAGTTTATCTCAAATTCTTCAGCATTTAACCCAGTGCAGTCATCCCCGCAAGACTTTTACCCCCATCATTATTATTAACTAAGTTTTGCAAATTATTTATAAGTTCATTGAATCTTTCATCGAAATCTATCTTCATAATATCTCTATCTTTTTATACTTTTTTTTCGAGCTCAATCATTTCATCGGATATTATCCTTTTAATCTACCCTGTAAAGTTCGGTGTCTTTGGAATGAAGTTATTTTTCCTCACTAAGTAATTTAACTTTTCAAAATCTTTTTCTACAAATTCTGTAAACCTTTCTTCAAGATATTTCAAATCAACTTCTACCTTAAACCCCAGTTTCCTTACATCGTCTATATGATCGTCAAATTTAACCTTATCCTAAATAATTTGCTATTTAACATTTTTTAAGCTATCTATTCCAAGAAACTATGAGTTTTTTAAGTCATTTCTAATCTATTCTGCTTCATTTGCCAGTTGTTAAATCTTATTCTCAGCGTTTATAATATCCTTATGATTTGTTTTGATATGTTCATGATGCCTCTCACTGCTTGCTTTTAATTCAAATAAATCATCATGAATATTTCTAAAGGAGTGAAACTTCTCATTTATATCGATAACCATATCCTTTATATCAGCCATATATCCTTTGTTGCTGACGAACATATTCAATTCAAATAGAGATTTATCCATATCAGGCAATTTAGTAAACATTATTTCATTGATAATGGTATTGACTCTATCAGAAAATTCATTATATCTATGCTCTGTTTTTATGTGATCCTGCTTAATCTAATCTCGCATCTTACTGATTTAAGAATTCATCTTTTACTCCATTTAGTCCTCTCTAATTTTTATCTGTTCAAGCATCTTTTGCTAATCAAATTGCATGCGCTTCGTATAGCGCTTGAAACCGTCGAATTACCGATTTAATTTCAAGTTAAGTGAATCAAACTCCATTACTACTTTCTCTATCGACTCAACTACAGGGATAGGAATATTTTTCCACAGAGCTGGCTTAATAGTGTCCATATAGTCACATTTGAAGTTGTCGTTATCCCCAAATACAAAGCTTGTTGGACCACTTCCGTACTCTCTATTCCCACTCCTATAATATAATAGTAATTTAAGTGAAATTATACCCATGATGATGTCTGTCTTGGTTTCCATTATTGTGATTATTTTATTCGTAAGATGAGAGACCTAAATTGCTATTTTAATTCTAAGCCATATTGCTAGTTTTTAATTCCAAATCTGATTAATTATTTGAATTAAATCTTGAGTAATGCCCCAAGTTCATAACGCTAGTTTCATCTTATCTAAACCTACTACTTCTTCGACTGTTATCAACGTTCCTCTGCTGCTCATTTAGTTCAAGTTAATCATTTGCTCTTAGGGGTTATTAGTTAATCTAAGCTCTCAATAACTTATTATAAGACTGTGTAGGAGTAAAATTTTAACTGTTTGCATCAGATTGAGGTGTGTTAATAGCTGATCTATCTGCTTATTTCCCTGCCTAAGACCCAAATTGAAAGGGTTATTACTGTTAGTTATTGCTCATTATTGTAAATACTTTATAGTAATATTTATTAAAATTTCTTATTTCTCAAAGTCCTTCAAATACTACCATTTAGGGGTTTTGGGGTTTTGGGGTTTTGGGG